TGTTTTTTGTGGTGAAAGCGGTAGCAGTTTAAGCATTGGTCGATGTGAATGAAGCATTCGGGTTCCAAGTTGTAGGTGGGGACCGATGTATTGAATATCATGAGTCCCCGTGAGATAAGTTTCTGGGCTTCCTCGGGGGATGAGACGCGAATCTTGACGATTCGCGACTCGGGCGGTTTATAGACGTCGAGAATAGTGATACCGTTCTTGACAGAAACCTCCTGGCAGATGGACTCGCACGATCGTGGGGGATTGTCTTGTCAATCTTTTTCGCCACGATCGTACACTTAGCCTTCATTTCGGGGGAGGGAACAGGTGAAAAGCCATGGTCTTTGAGCTTTCTTTGGCCGTCGGCCGAAAGAAATGGGGTCAGGTGTTCGGGTTTGGCAAATGTCACCTTGAAGCCATTGTGGACCTTAAAGAGGTGTGTGACTGCCACCTCAGTGATAATGAAGATGTTCTGGAGAGCCTCCTCGCAAGAGATAGGCTCCCCAGTGTACGCTAATTTGATGACGTGACCCATGAGTTACATCATAGCGAGGGTGATGAATGATGGGTAGAGGAGGCTAGCAGAGCTAATTAACTGGACGATGAAAGGGTGGAAGTGGTATCAAAAAAGGTGAGGCACACAGGGTAGCCAACTGTCTCTGTGTGGGAAGGCCGGTCGGGGTCGGAACCCTGCCGAACGGGCATGAGCCCTTATATGTTCGGCCGAACACTTTACAGTGAAACTATTGGCTGTCACTGTGCTTCGTGCTTTTAATTACTTGCACATCAAGGCTTGTAATTAAAAGCACTAGCCCAAAGCAGGTATTGCGTAACTGCACCCAAAGCAGTTACACCAAGGGCCAATCGAGAGAGAGAATCTGTGGCTGCGTATACCCTCTCGCCGCCAATGTAGCCGTTAGAGAATGTGTTCTAATACACAGCGTCCCCTTGTTCGACTCCATGGTGGGTGGGGGCATGAGAGGCTGAAGGAAGTGCTAAATCATATGGCAAATAAAACTCCCCCCCCCTCGGAATGACCCAAGAGTTGACGAACCAGGCAAGGAAAAGACAACGGCAGTTACTTGGAAGTCTTACAAAGCTTCTGATGGTTCGAAGATGGGAAAAGCACAGGCTGAATGTGTCAGGCCTGCTGCTAAGATGGACAGAGAAACCATCAACTAAAAAATCCATGAAATAGTCCAACAGATAGACTTGAGGGCTGGCCTCTCCAGGGCCCGTATCCACGAAAGGCTTCAGACAATTCTGAGACTAAATTTGAGAAGTGTCGGAGGAAAAAATAAGGTCCGTCGTTTGTTTACATCGTTGGTCGGCGCTTATTTAGTTATTTCATATTTATTAAAACATAAGAATGCTTGCAAACATGTGTTTTCTTTGGCAAATCAATCATTACACAAGAAAAACAAAAACAAAGTAATAAAAATGTGAAGATAGCCTTTGCAAAACATATTCTCAAATTTGTCTCAACTGTCTCAAATGTAAGACAGGGTCGCAGGAGTCATAAGTCATTCGAGAATAGACTCAGACAGTTTCACATTGAAGTATAGGCTTATGTATGTATATGCGCATATATGTGTGAACAAATAGAAATATGTGTATATGCATATGCATGTCTCTGTATATGTGTATATGTGTATATATGTATGTATTTGTTTGTTTGTGTGTATATATTATGTATCTATCTATGTATAATAAACACATACACATACACACGCATATATACACACATGTGGCGGACGCCACAATCACCTCAGCACCGGCGTTGTCTCGCTCTGCTTAATTGCCTCACTCAGCACCGGCGCACCTCACTCGGCATAATTGCCCTGACGCCGGGTCAGCCGGCAGGCAAGCGTGGCGAGTTCCGCGGCGCTGATTCGCCGCGACGCGGAAGATAAGGATGCAGCGGTCGGCCAATCAGCACACTCAACGGCAAGCGAACCAGCAGTGTTACTTTGTCCAGTTTGTTTATATACCGCATTTTCCGCCGAAAAATACACAACACAGGTCCTCTCCCCTGTGGTGTACAGAGAGAGATCACCCAATTGGCGAGACATTATTGACACCCACTTGGCGTGATCCTCTTGAGCAAAAGTCACCAGACTTTGAGCTTGACTGATACTTTTTGACAACAGACTACACAGAGAGCTCCGCCAATTTATCGTGGTTCGCCGCGACAATTGGCCAGCCCTTCTCTTGTAGTAAGTGCCCCACTACCGCTCCCTTAGAGAGCGAGGTTGCAAACCTGGACTGGACCCTCTGGTCCTGGACATAGTTTGTGGCCACGCACCAAGGGCGACTTTTCGGTGCCTGACCCTTGCTCTCTCTTTCTGACTTCCTGGTGCAGCCTGGGTCTGCGGGAAACGCCGATTTCCAACATTCGCCTGGGCTGCGGTGACGTGATCACACCTCCCTTGTAGCAGGATTGGGGTGCAGAGCGTTTACCACACCAAAACTCAGAGTTCAACCCACCCAGGGGGATCTCCTGTCCTGTGGTGCTGAAGGGTCGAGTGTAGGAAACAGCTTTTTTGAGATCCTTCATAAGACCTCACCCTGAGAGCAGGTATAAGGATAGTCCCCGAAAGGGGACCAATCTGATCTATACTCTCTCCATGACCACAAAATGAATCAGACTATGGCAGTCACCCTGGAGCCTTTCAAGGTTGCAGGGGGGACAAAGAAAAACAAAATGCAGGCCGAATGTGTCCGGCCTGCAGAACTGAGCAAGGACAAGACAGAAATATCAATCACAAAGTCTGTCCATGCACACCAGACTGAGAGAAATCTGAACTCTCCTCAGAATTTCCACAGTCAAGAAGGGGCTCTAACAGAACCAGCCAAACCAGCTGCCCCCACTTCTAAAGGCCTTAAACCCCTGCAAAGGGGAGGCGTGAAGCGACGAAGGGTGGAAACTGACTCAGAGTCAGAACACACCCCAAGTCGACTAACGCCGTTTAAGGTACCAAAAAAACCTGAAGACTTCGACAAGCCTACCAACTGGTTAGGGCACTGGAGAAGGAAAGGAACGTCAGACTCTCAATTCGAATCTGTAAAGATGAGGGCATGATTATTGTCCCCAAAGACAAAGCCACCCTGTACTTCCTGCAGGAAATCAAGGTGCTAAAAGTATCTCATCACTGACCTCCAAAGAGAAAAAGACCAAGATGGTGCTACTTACTTTTCCACTAGGGTTCGACGTGGAGGTGATCACGTTTCTCCCACAAGTGGTGGAGGCTTCCCGCATGACCAAAGGGAAGTCTCCAACCAGACAAGTCCTGATTATCCTCAAGGGAGCCCCAATCACCACCCTTGATCTGGGTAACTGGGGCTCCTACAAGCTCAGGACATATGTGCCAGAGCCCTTGAGGTGCTTTATGTGCCAGAAATTTGGGCATCACCCGGCCAACTGCAAGGCCAAAGCCAAATGTGGTGTATGCAGCGAGGCACACGAAACAGAAGTGTGTATCAAGGCACACAAAGATCGCCAGAAGGACACAACAGCCAAGTGTCCAAACTCTGCCAAGAAACATCATGCCTGGAGCCTGGCTTGCTCTGTCAGGAAACAGGCAGTCATTAAAAAGCAGGAGTAAGCCAAAAAGCGTCCTGACTTTGTCCCTGTGCCCCCAGGCACCTACGTCTGGGATACCTCTAACAGAGAGGAATTCCCCAAGCTTGCTTGTGGCAAAACCACAAAAAAGAAACAAAGTGAAAAAGGTTCAAAGACCACAGCAAAGGTGCCCCCAATAGAGGATAATCTTTTCTTTGACGAGAAAGATATGACTCTCCTGTTGAGTGCTGTAGTTTCTGCAGTAGCAACAGCCTTGGGGAGGACCAGTGAGGAGGCGGAGAAAGCAGTGCAGGTCGCCATGACGGCTATGACCCAAACTGTTGCAGCTCTGAAGGGAAGGAAGCTAGAAGCCTCCAAACCGAAAACAAGCAGCACTCCCCTCCCTAAATCCTCGGATGGTAGGCTAGCTTCGGGAGAAGCATCACGTGAAACCCCAGCTAGTCTGTCTGGACAGGCTGAAACTGTGCAGCAGAAGCCCCTACTGCAGGCCGAGTCTGTGCAGCCAAAGTCTGGTCCCTTGACCCGAGGTGGCACTTCCAACCAAGGCTCTAAACCTCTCAGTAGACCCTTAAACGGAGTGTC